AATTGAAACTTTTCTGGTTAGCTATATACGCTCTTTTAATATTTCCCCAACAAATCTGCGCTTTTAATCCAGAGGACAATCTCTACGCTAATACAGCAAAAGATCTAAAAATTGCGCATTTTGATTGTCAACTAATGACATCGAACAAAATGTTCTCACTTAATAAAGTAGCTCCCTGCAAAATACAACCTGAAAATATCGAAACCACAACTGCCGAGGTTACTCTTTACCAACGGCATTATAGCACAAAAATTAACGCGACAATGTGTCGTATAAAACACCAATCTATCCGATGGTTTTGTGATTCTTTCGATTCAAGCGGAATAGACGCTCGCCAAAATATAATCACAACTGATATACACATTTCCCCTGATACTTGTAAGCACGCCGCCGAACGGGGATATGTTAACTTAGGATACTCAAAAAATATTCCTTTTCGCTTCGACGAAAAAATCGTCACAAATACAAATAGAGGCAAAGTTGATGGCGAATACCACAACGAATGCAGCGATCGTTCTTGGATCCATTTGGATACTTTCGAATCGTACATGCAAAATATTTCCTTAACTGTCAATCTAAAAGATGGCACCGTTAATAACTGGCAAAACATTCCATTACCTTGTCCTGTATATGAAAACGGATGTGAAACAACATCACTCGACCCTTTTGCATATACTTGGAACGAGCCCGAAAACTGCATTTTTTCGGTTCTCAATAAATTCGAAGCAAAAATGATTCGAAATGAAGAAAATTATTATATTGTAAAAGACTCTTTTACTAAAATATCCAACCACCATACTCGAGGTAGAGACACTCAACAATTTATGCTAAAAATACTAAATAAACCACAATCTTTATGTGGACACCCAAAAATAGTCTACCCGACCCAATACGAATCATTGTTCATAGCATACCAAAACGGTTTTAATATGGATACTGGTTTACAAATAAACCCGAGTGCTAATACAGGAATTTTTCATTCGGAGCCAAATTTGACTTACGTAAAATACGCAAAAGATAAAAATTATCCCTTTGCACCGGGACAAATAGACTACGAAGCTCATCTAGGAACAAAACTAGATTACATTCTTTTTCGAAGCTTTTACATGCTTCGAACTGCCGAATTGGCACTTTTAACGAATCAATGTGAGTTAGAACGCTCCATGATTCTCAATACTTTAATGCTCTCTATCGAAAGCCCGCGTTTAGCCGGCTACATTTTGACCCGAAATAGGTCTATGTTTTTAGAGACCAATGGCAATGTTGCCTGGCTCTATCACTGCCCAAAATTTTATTCTCCATTACAATTAATGGACGCATGCTATAATCGGATACCAATTATGTATCGCGAAAAAATTCATTTCGTCGACCCGATCACTCGACAAACTTTTAAATCGGCAGATCAACAAGACTGCTCCGATAAACATTTAAATCTTTATCAACTAGATGTTGATAACGATAATTCTTGGATCGAACTCACACCCTCTATTACTAGAGTAAAAGGTCCTGATCTGTTTAAGCCGAAAGAAATTAAACGGCAAGTAAAACACTCTCTTGCATCTAGTCATGATGCTTCTATTTACACTTATGCACAAATGCAAAAATTTTGGAGCATGATTACTGATCACTCTGAAATGAAGGGTTTTTTACAAAAAGTATCCCAAACTTTTCTTAATGCAAGAAAACACTTCTATCCGGACTCGAGTAGTCAATACGGATCTACGCAAAACATATACTTAGATTATCTTATCTCGCCTGATTTTTGGAAGAACGAGTACACTCGTGTTTTTGGTACAATACAGTACTATTTAGAAAGATGCGGAATAATATTCGCCTCTTTCCTTTTCGTCAAGTTTATACTCGACGCTCTTGTATTTGTAATAAAAGTATTACACATACACAAACTAACCGGCCGAACTCTTCATTTCGGAAAAATTATGTTAGCCGCCTCTTACAATATACTTTTCACTTCTATAGTGACTTCAATATTCGCTCAAAATGAGAACGATCAAAATATTGAGCTTGATCATAGGCCTCAGGCACCTCAACAAGAGGATTCTGAAAACGAAAATCAGGATAAAATTTATCCTAGACTCCAACTAGTTGATTACAATAATCGACCCGCTGTACCGGTCTAATTTATTCTATGTTTTAGGATATGCCCACTGATCTTCTTCAAACTCCACTCGAAGAAGACTTACTCGATTTCGAAAACCTTCTGTCTCTAAATGACCCTATGGAAATGCCATCCAAAACAATCAACCCGATTAATCAACCAAAATTGAATACCAATTTTAAAATTCCAAAAGTGAAAAATTCTAATTGCATTCAAAAGAGAAAAGCAATTGTCCGACCTTTCAAAATTCTCCCCTCTTCTTCAACTAGGAAAAACCTAGAATCTGAAACTGTAATAGTTCACCAATCCGCAAACTCTCTAGAACTTGAATCAAAAATTGCGATTCAAGTCAAAAAGGAACAAAACCTCAGCCCTAGGAAACCACCAAATTTTGACACCAGTCTAAATTATGCGCTCTCTCCCTTTATTAACCGATTTAAGATAGACACCTATCACCCTTACCAAAACGGTAACGGTGCATACCGTCTGGTTAATGCACAACTCCCCCATCAACATATTTGTGTTCCTGCAGCCTTTATAACTGCCCAAATGCAGACTCCGATCCTTGACTCCTACACGGATCAAGTGCAAAAGAATTACATAAACGACTTAAATCGCATCAATCAAATGCAGAAAACCATAACAGTGCTCCGGAAAAAAATAAGGACCTCAGCAATAAATATCTGAGCCTAAAAACCCAGGTGGAAGGAAACTATTAGTTTCAAGACTATCTATTAACCTCCGTTCTTTTTATTTTTTAACTCCAACTGTGAATTGGCCGCCGCCACTTTACAAAGTATGTATGCTTCTACAATTATAGTCCAGTATTGCTGATAAGTATATTCGCTAAACCAACTTTGAAAAATTGTATTTGATGTTATATTTCTCAAAAGTATCCAGCTGTGATTTGGCCGCCGCCACTGCTCTACTCTACATGCACATAGACTACAAGCAGCCATTCTTCAACCGACTACAAGCAGCCATTCTTCAACCGACTACAAGCAGCCATCTATCAACCGACTACACTACAAGCCGCCACTTTACGAACAAACTACCAAAATCAGAATAAAAACTTTACGCAAACTTTATTAAAACTTTTTGATGTTTTGTAAATTATATTATGCTTTTAAATTTTTTGTCAACGGGTTTCACCGTTTAACAATCACCCTATAAGATGGTTGGATGTTCTGAATTGAAATCAGAAACACAATTATTAAAACTTTTACCATATGTTCTGACTTGAAATCAGAAACATAATTCTTAAACTTTTACCACATGTTCTGACTTGAAATTATGTGTTTGCTCGGTTGATAAAATATCACCAAAAGCAAACATTACAGCATGTGTTGTTTCTTTCTGATTGGTTTAACCAACAGATGGAATGCTGAAAATATCAAAATCTATGGTATATAAGCCAAGCGAAAATATACCAAAGATCACTTCATCACTTTCTCAAATCTCATAACTACTCTCATATTGAGACCCCCAACCATCCTAATAACCAAAATCTCAAATCTCTATCTCGATAACTATCAATCCATACCCTAATGTCTCTTGATATAAAATTGATGTGTGTCCTCTATATTTGAAATAATATACTTATTTACGAGTGAAAGAAACTTTGTCTGTTGAATAAGAATAGGAAAGTCTTAGCAACATTCAGAAAGACCCCTTGTTCTAACTAGCTGCGATTTGGTCGATCGCATAAGTTAAATCAAGTTAGATTGGAATAATTAAACAACCTAAAAACAAAAAAAAACCATTTACAAAAATCATTTACAAAATCATGTTTTTCTGGCTTTTTTACCCCCCACTCTCCCCTCCTCCTCCCAGTTTACAGTTTAAATCTCCCTCCTAGTTTTTCACCATTGAACGGAGGGGGGACTGAAAAAAAACTCCACTTCTTTACCCATCCCATTTTCATCCCCGTAATGTTTTTAACTCCCCCCGTCACCCACATTTAGTAAAATGGGGTACCAAAAAGAGGGTTGCAAACTGTGGAGGGGGAACTGGGAAGGGGGGTTAAAACGGGCAGGTGATTTAGAATAGTTGGTGAAAACAACATTGAGTCAACCTCCCTCCACCTGTTCAATCATCCCCCCGTTCAATCATTAAACACCACCTCGTTGATTCACATTCAACCATTGAACCCCCTTTACTTGAACGTGAGGGGGCAGTGGGCAAATGGCAGTTTTTACCATTGTGATGGTAAAAAAAACAATTAAATAAATTGTTAAACTACAAACTGAAACAGTGAAGAAAATTTGTACTGAAAATTTAAAGTGTTATATGAAAACTAAAAATTTATGAAACTTAAAACGTAGCAAATGCACTAGATAAATTTGAAAATGATGCCAATAATGCCAATAATCGATTTAAATGGATTATATTGATATAAAAAATGTTAAGACTATAATCCATTTCTAATAAATTATATGCGATTATATTTAAAACTTACGGAAGCTGACAATGAAAATGCAATATAATTAATTATTATCCATGAAACTCCTGTTTTGGCGCTTTTATAAATTTCACTTTACAAAAACATAGTTTACCTGGTTTTTACTCCAAAGGGATTTCTTTCTCGAAGCGCTCAGATTTAAGGGGGTCTGTTCTGTTTTGCGGCGCAAAAAAGTAATGTTTTTGCATCTAGAAATTGATCAAAATGATAGAATCTGATTGGTTGAAATCAAGCTCAACTAAAACATTTCTCGGCGTTTTCAATGAGAACAGAAGCACAATTAACAGTTTTTATAAATTTGGCCGTATAACAGAAAAGACCCAGACTCGAAATTGGTTAAGTCAAGTCATCCTAACATAACCGCATAAATTTATTACAGTGTCGACATGAACAGGATTTATAAGAAAACAAAAAGTGTATAACCCATAATTCTGCTGTTTTTCTCTATGATTTCCTCCTCCCGCTTCTTCTTATCCGCAATTCTTTGCTGTTCTTTGATTTCACATTCCTAGAAAAAAAAAGTTGTTTCATGTCATCCAGGCGTCTTTGTGGAAAAAGAGTGCAAGTTTCAGGTTATAAGCAAACCATAATTCATGACTTCGATATCTAATTCAGTTAAAATAAAACGTAAAAACAATTTAGAAGAGATCGTGATTAAACATTTGAAAATGTGCGCTCAATCTCTGTACTCTCTGTAACTAGGAAACAACAGTGGTTAGACAAAGTTTTATTCGTATTTTCGGCAATACAAACCACTCATGTCAGTATAATCAGTAAATAATCCGAATAATCCAGAAAACTCACAACATCAAGTTCCGAATTTTCTACAATAATTCGCTCCAAACGACACAAATTGGCGCAAGCTAGCCACAAGAACCGGTCGGTAATGTCCTTGAGACAAATTGGTCTTTTTGGGGGCCAGTTTTAATCAAGGCTGAACCAAATTAGAACCTAAAAACAGTTTAAAAAGGTCAAGAGGGGCTATACCCCCTCTGGTCTACATGTTTTAAGGTCTGCGTATGGGGGGATTCGAACCGGCGCCAACTGGCAAGTCTGACTGTAGTACATTTGGAATATGCCGCTCGGCCAAATATGCTGTTTTATTTGCATTTTGGTCCAATCATAATCAAGTTGAAAATTGCGTACACCATCCTCAACCCCTAAAGAAGGAAGAACAGGAGCAAGCTTAACGGTCGGCCGAGTGAATTCAAGCGTTGCGGTCTGAACAAGGGCGGATCATGCGCAACCGTCCTGTCCATAATGTAGCTTTACGATTCGGGCGAGAGGGTAGTACCCACTCGAACTATCGGGATCAATCACCCATACGAGATCGCCTGTCTTAAGAGTGAAGTCAGAATGATTGTACCACTTGATACGCTTATTCAGTGAGGGAACAAATTCGCGAAGCCAACGAGACCAAATTGCGTGAGCATACGACTGCGCTCGCACGTAACTTTTCTTGTGGTCGAAGTGCTCCCCAGGTAAAAGCGAAGGAAAGCTTGTGGTATTTTGTCCAAGCAAAAATTGGTTTGGGGTTAACGCTTCTAACTCATGTGAATCAGCACTAACGGGAGTGATTGGCCTCGAATTCAAAGCCTGCTCAACTAAGCAGAGTGTTATTCCTAACACCTCTTCGGTGACTCCCCTACTGCCTCAGTATATGATAAAGCACGCGTTTCACGCTTCGGACGAGTGCCTCCCAGGAACCGCCATGATGGGGTGCGCCTGGCGGGCTAGATTTCCAAGCAACACTTTTGTGTGCAAAAATGGTCGGAGCCATGCTATTCCAAATCTTGATGCAGGCAAGTAATTCCTTTTCCGCACCAACGAAGTTTGTGTCGTTATCCGACCAGATCGTGTTTGGTTTACCACGACGCTCAATGAACCGTTCAACGCCCATGACACAAGAACTAGTACCAGAGATGGTACGGTCTCAAGTTGTACAGCAGTGGTGATGAGGCACGTGAAAAGAATTCATCTTTTTTCAGTGCTTCTGCAAGCGGACCAAGGCAATTCACACCCGTATGATTAAATGGTGGTTGCTTATATCCGAGACTTTCGACGGGTAAATTGGACATAATTGGCTGGATTGTACTTGCTTTGCGTTTACGGCATGTTACACATTGGTTTTCGATAGACTGAAGTACTCTGGGCAGCGCATTCAATCTAAACTTTGATGAAAATGCTTATGGTGGAGGCTGCGGGACAACAAGCGAATTAGGGTATGTCGGGCGTCGAGTAATATTGGGTGTTTAGTATCAAACTCGGTATTCACTAAGCGAACAATCCGGCCGGTGGAACGAATGATACCAGCGGTGAGTGTTATCAACACAACGGGGATGGATTCCATCTGAGCTAGATGAATTAGTTTGTTTTCCGCAATTTGAATCTCAGTGGGATTGGTGATCCGCAAGTCCTTGCCGCGAAAACACTTATGTGAAGGCAGCATCCTCAACATAAACGCGACAACTCTTTTATACCTCGCGAAGGAACTGAACCTTTCCCAAATGAATCCGTGTTCGGGATTTTTGATGGATGTGACATCGGTGATAGGAAGATGATGTCTACAAGCAATTATCAACCTCACAAGAAGGACCCTTCAAATGAAATTTTTTTGATAAAACGTTCCTCGGGTATTAACGGCCAATCAGTAGTCCTGAGAATGCTCAAACCAATAACCCAGCTGCTATCCATTGAGGGCTTCCAAAGAAGTCCCCCGCGTATCGGTATTAGCTGGATTAACGTCCATCAGAACATGGTGCCACTTATCAAGAGTAGTCGATTCGAGGATTTCGCCGACACGGTTAGCGAGTAATGCAGGTAATTTGTCACTGGAGTTTAGCCACTGCAAAACTGTAGTACTATCTGTCCACATGTAGACTTGATTAATGTTAACAGTAAGTGCTGTCAGCATATCATCTTTCAAATGAGTGGCGAGCAGAGCAGCTTGATACGTCAGGAGACTGGTTACATCCGAGGACACACCAAGTGTTGCAGTCGGCAACAACCCTTTAGACGATTCAATGTCATGTACATCACTAACAGGGGCGTGGGTGGAAGTGTTTGTATTCTCCTTGGACTTGTTTATTCCAGCCTTATTTGAGAAACTCGAATTTTCCTTCCCAGGAATTAATTTCTCGGCTCCATGGAGCAAGACATTATGTGCAAGACAAGGCACTCTGGCTTCGGGCATTTTTTAGCTCTAGAACAATACCAGAAACTATGATTGCCATTGAGGCAAGCGAAGCAACGTTTCTGTTCAGCTACGTTTTTTGCTCGCTGAGTATCATCTTTTACCTTGAAAACAGCACAGTTCCACAATGCATGAGTACCCTTACATAAACCGCAGGGCGGAAACTTAGACATATCCTGTGCTTTACTAGTTACTTTGCTATTGACTGCAAAAAATTCGGTTGTTTTGGCTTAACTGGTTCCTCGTTTTTTGCCTTACATTTAAGTACACGTAATCTCTCATGCCCCTCGGCCTTTCTTTCAACCAGTTGTTAAATTCTAAGAGTGTTGGGCGCTGCCAATTATGCCTAACAGTATGCATTGACCAGCTTCCTTGAGGTTAGGCGGAAGTTTACTAAAAGTTTGGTTTAGCAGGTTCACACTATTTAGATCATCGTTGAATTAGAATGAATTGAAAACTGCTACGAGCCCAGATATGGCAGAGGAGAAACTAATGACATTTTCAGAATTGTGCATCTTAAGTGGAGGAAAAGTATTCAGCTTATGAAGATGCGCACCAACAATAGCGTGTGGTTGCCCAATTTTCCGTAGCAAGGTGGCCAGTACATCGTTGTACATAACGCCACTATAACTTAACTCCGCAATTGCGGTTTTTGCTTTGCCTGTGACGAGTTGTTTTTAAGTGTCAGTTTCGTATCATCGGCGAGAACAGCGGAATTAACGGTGGACTTAAACTGACCAAATCATTCGTGCCAGTTTAACGGGTTGCCGTCAAACTGGGCAAACTTTCGTTCAGCAAGATGATATTTGCGGCTATGCATTAATAATTCCGTCAATTCACGAGCGGAGATAGGTCGATTCGATGAACAACCTTGGTTCAGATTAGCAGAAGATGGTGGGTAGTCTTCGTTGACTGGCTAATATCCAGTATTAGTATTATTGACAAAATGCGGAACTTGTTGGGGATGAACTGGCGGAGTATTAAAAATTACAAACCTACCACATGTATAAGGGGCGGCGGTGTTACACTGTGAGACAACAGTTATCAAACTAGAAAAAATGTTTCCAGCATTACAACACTGAACAGGCATGACTATTGTAGTTGTAGCGGCCAATCATCCATAAGTTTGCATCACTTGTATAGTAATCGTTGGTATTAGGTGACACAGTATGCGGTATAAAGGGATTATTATGTTGCGTCTGGACTGGCGTTGCATGGCAATGAGGTGCCGAAAGAAAAATCGACGGTGGGTTTACTCCAGAAGATGAGAAGTCACCACCAGCAAATGCAGGTGATAATGAAATAAAACCAGTACCAGGTTGTGCCGATAACATTGGACAGGTAGTGATTCCGGTTGCCCATTGGCAAAACTACCCTTAGTTATGTTTGAACACATCGTCTGTAAAGGAACAGCAGACGGTGGTGGTAACACGTGTGCACTAGCATGCATATTGTTTGCTGGGAATGAAACAGATGGAACAGAAGCTTGCAATGGCAAAAGGCTTGCTTTACCAAATTAAGGCATGTGCCGATGTCCATGACTATGGATTCCAGGGTCACTCAATGCTGTGTGCTCATGGTTATGACTATTACTTTTTACTATTACGACTATTACACTGACTATGTTATGACTATTACTTGTTATGACGAATTACTATGTTATGACGAATTATTTTTTATTTTTGTTGCAAAGATGTCGAAAAACACACCGTTGATACCACTCTAGTTTTGTCTGGCACATATTGCACTCTTCTGTCAGTGACAAATTCAGAAATGTTATGAAATATGTGGAAAAATGGTGCGCATTTAACACAATTTTTCAAAATTACAGTAATGACTTTCTGAAATTCTTAAAGGTTGCATTCCTTTTTACTTGTTTAAAGAAACGTAGCAATATCAAACATCTTTCAAACGTTGTAAAGATGAAATTGATACTAAAATTTATTGAAAATTTAGAAACAGTCTGCACTAACAAATGACAAAATCAATGGCTTGGTGTACCGTTGTAAGATTTTTTCAGTAAAATTATTTCTGCGGTTTTGCGGTTACTGTGATTTTTTTATGTGCACACTTCTATGGTTGCGGTCCATATTTTTTCCTAAACTTTCAAATTTTCAATAAATTTGAGCCAAAAAACACTACCAACTATTTTCTTCAAGAGGACGTATGATCAATTGACTGAATAATTTCAGTTTCATGCTGTCAAATCAATATACGATTGATTTACGTTAGTTTTTGTTCAGAAACTTCATCTCAAGTTGTGAATAAATTCCCACATGAGTTTTTCAGTTGGCACATTTTGAAAACTGCAAAAACAACAAGAGCGCAAAAAAAAATTAATTATGCTGAAACCTTGTAGAAATTGAAAACAAATCGATTATAATCAATTAAAAATGG